TATTTTTATGGAATTTATGGGAAATAGAAGGCATTTTTTGAGAAGGGTTTCCAGGTGCATAAGCAAACTGTGTTATACCCTCAGAATCATGCCAACATCTGCGCCCGCTATAAAACTGTTCGGTTTTCCTGACATCAGCACAACACTTCGGATACTTTGATCATCTTCAATGCGGTCGAATATCTGCATGAGTTCGCGTGAAACACTCGTGCTCAGTGTGTTCTCCTGGAATTTCTCTCAAATTTTTGAAATGCGAAATTTCTACAAAATCTGCTGGCAAATTTTCTGCATTGAACATTCCGTTGAAATTCATGTGTATCCTGTAAAGGTATCATCAGATTTTTTGAAATTATTGTCGTCGTTTTCTTTGGAGTTCATGAAAATGTTTCGGTGTGCTTCATAAAATTTTTTGCATACTTTCATTCCCTGCTTATCGATCTTCACCACTGCCACATCGCCCTTCACTGTGAGTGTTACGGAATCTGCAAATTTGTTCACAGTTTGTTTCACTTCTGCGATACAAAAAGCGTCTGGAATTTGCATGAATTTCGTGTGTTGAATTGTTTTAATTTCAAAATTTTCGCAATTTGAAGTTTTTAATGGAAATGACGGCGGTGTGATTTACCATTTGATGCGGATGCTGTTGTTGTGCTCGTGAATCTTAGCAAGTGACGAGTTATTGAGGCTGGAAATAAACAATTTCTTGCTGATCATTTGAATAATGCATCGAAAAACCAGAGGCAAAATTGGAAAATTTACTGTGTTTGAAAAATTATTGTTGTATTTTTTGAGAATTTGAGAAAATGTCTAGCGGCGGAAAAAATTATCATTTTTACCGAAATTCCAGCTTCTAGCTCTCGACAGAGCATTTAGTCGAGTGGAAAGCATGATTTCGGAAGTAANAGTAACGGAAAGCTAGTTCCGACTCTCGTCGTCGTCTTTCTTGCTGCTAATCCAATGAGCTGCTGAATGGATGCTGCTGGGTGATGACTGATTGAGAAGCCTGTAAAGGCTTTATTTTCCAGGAAAAAATTGAATTTTCTTGTACAAATTTTGCAGAATTATTATTTTTCTTTTTTTTCGATACGATCAAAACGTTGAATCGTCGAATATGTGTCAAAACGTTAAACGAAGTTGATTAATGTGCGCGCATAACGATTTTCATAACTGATTAATGATCAATCACAATTTTCTGTAAAACTATCACATCGAACGCACAAAACAAAACGTTAGCAAGTTTTTTCACACGAAAAGTTTTGAGCATTAATAATCAGAATGAGAATAATCCTTCTAATCAGAAGCAGCATCTCTTTAGCAGGATTGATTATCAATACAATAATTGTATCTAATGAATGACATTCGTGGACTTCATCTCTTTAGCAGGATTGATA